AGAAACGTCAACAAAGTGCACAGGAGGAAAGGAGAAAATGATTCTAGCACTTGAGAATAAGGAGGTCTGTGTGGAGGCGATGGTATTTCTGTGGGAATTTGAAAGACCGTAGGATTTTACCAGGTGAAGAAGTCAAGGCAAAACATTCCAGGAGAGGAAAATGTAATTAACAAAAAGACTGGATGCAGTTGGGGTGCAGTAATGGGTATAGTTATAGGGGTGCAGTGATGGAGTTGCAGTGATGGGACCTACACTGATGGGCATAAATGATGGTGGTGTGATGATGAGGTTGTAGGGATGGGGTGTGGGGATGGGAGCTACAGGGATGGGGGTGCAGTGATGGAGTGCAGTGATGGGAGCACAATATTGGGGTTTCAGTGATGTGGGCACACTGATGGGGTACAGTGAGGCATCCATCTGGAAAGGCAGGACAGAGCCAGATGGGAAAAAGATCTGAACATCCTGTTGAAGTGTTTGAGTTGAACAGCAGGGTGAGGTGGGTTTGAAGAAAGGTCATGAGAAGGAGGCTCTAGGGTGCCCAGCTCCAGGCCCCTAGAGTGAGAGGGGCATTGCCCAGTGACCCAGGTCCACCCCCAGAGCATCCTCCCTTTGTTCTGTCCACCTGCAGGCCAGTCTCCACCCTGAGGCCACTGGCAGCAGGGTAGATTAGATTATGTTCTAAGCTGAAGCCAAGCCTCAGACTGAGGTCCTCTCTTATTGTGGTTTCTCCCTCAGGGTTTCAGCAGAGCAGTCTGGGAGGACAGAGAGAGCCCATCACAGGTCTGTGTCTCGGGGGCCATCCAGGCCACTGGTCTGCTGGGAACAGCAAGGTCCAAGGAGGTGATGTCAGGTGGTTCCTCAGCTTCCTAGAAGATTAAATGATCTTTAATGGCCCAAGAACTGCAGAAGTCAGCCCATGCTCCCCAACCTTCCTGTTGCTCCTCATTCCCACTCCTCTTCCCTAAGTGGCAAAGGCTGCAGCTTGGAGGCAGGAAGTCTGGGCTCAGGTCCCAGCTGTGCTGGCTCCTCAGTCCTGTGATATCTGACGATTCATCCTACCTTGCAATTTCCTCCTCTGCAAAATGGGAATAATCGCATTACATAAGGTAATGGCTGCAAAAGGTTTAGCCCAGGCTGTGACACCTACAAGGCATTCGGTAAATGAAAGCTAGTATCATTATTTCCTACCATGTCAGTTTCCCAGAGAGCAGGCTCTGTCTATTAGGCGACGCCTGAGATAAGCAGAGGTGGCACCTTGATGAAGAGCAAATACAAGATACACAGTTAGGAAGTCACACCCTCCACAGTTCTCTTTCAATGTTGGGTTTGTAGAAAAGATAGACTATCTTTGGCCATAGCATGTTTCTTATGGGTATCTATAACACTTATTAATTTTTCCTTTTAACCAAGAGAGAACAATTTCCCCACCCCCCATGGTTCATGGTAGATATTTACATGGAGCGCCGTCTGGTAAACTCAGTCCTACTCAGTAATTTAAACAGTCTCTTTAAGTCACATAAGCTTTTTCAAATAAGTGCATAGCCTCTCAGATTTGCATCTCATCCTCTCCAAGATGGCGTCTGGATGTATCAGTTGGGGGAAGCTTATATGACCACACCAGTAGAAGGGTAGAGAGAGCCTAGACCCACTTGCAGAGGTCCTAGCATTGTTGGGCTGTCCTCAGCAACTTGTTGGGCTATCCACAGCACCGAGTTCCTGGGAGGATGATGAATTCTGACATGGCGAGCTCACGGTCTATCCTGTTGTCTTGGTCAAAGCCTATGGATCCTTCCTTGGGTACTCAGTGCCGCCACCTTGGCTCTGACCAGCCCTCAGCACTGTACTCTACCCAGGTCGGGTTGTGGTTCCACTTTGTCCTCAAGCCCAAGAAGCACCTCTGTGGGTCCCCTGACAACCTCCCTACCTAGGTCCCAAACATAGTCTCAGTTGCTCCTGAGTTCCCTTCAAGGCCATGTTTGGGGCCCTTCCAAGGAATAACTGATCAAGGATAAGCAGGAGCATAACCTGAGACCTGTCTTTGCCCAACCTCTTCTACTTGGCTGTGGCTGCCACAGGCTGGTTTAGGGATTTGGGGCATCCCTACGGTAGTCTCCTCCTGGAGAACCAAGGCTGCCTTCAGCTCCCCTGTCTAGCATACCTTCCACTTTGGGGCTTCAGTCTAAGAGGGAGATTCAGGTCACCTTGTATCACTCCCTGTTTTCCCTACCACTGTTCCCTTCTCCTTCCCAAGGTCCATGGTGCAGGAGGGGCAGATGCTCCATTCTGTCCTATTTTGGGGTCCTCTACACCATACCCTATAGCTTTACTATAACGGTTGCTAGAGGTGGGGGGATGATTTCACAGAAAAGACATGCACGATATACTGGTACATAAAAATTTCTTGATAATCAACAGTTTTTTTAAAAGTTGATTTAAAGAAAAATTTCAAGCAAACTGATAATCAAGTTAGGAGTGGGAATGGTACAAACTGTGAAGCTACCAGGTCCCTGGCTGAGTTTGGGGAAACACCAGGACCCACAGAAGAAGCTGTGATGGATACATAAATGGAAAAGACCTTTTTGTTGAGGAGGAAGGCAATCATATTCACAGCTCATTAGGAAGCAAGAGGGACCAGAAAAGCAAAGTTCTAAGGAGTTCAGGAGAATCTAGGAAAGGTGGTTGGAAGAGGTAGCTGTTGAATTGGGCTTTAAAGGGTAAGAAGCTGAAGAAAGGCCACAGCATGTGTGGGGGAGGGGGGGTGTACAGTAGGCACTTTGTAAACAGTGCTGAATGAGTTAATGATATAGAGAATCCATATAGTTTCTGATACACTTATAGAGCAGGGAGAATCTTTCTGGTGGCAACTAAGGAGGGCCAGAGCAGGGAGATAGTGTAAGTCTCAAGGTTGTAGACAAACATGGATATTGCAGACCTTCATTGGCAGGGCGCATGGAGACACCATTTTGAGCTGGCAAAGCTTGTGCCTTCAGAGCCACTTACTGGCCCTGCCAGCAACCTTCCTCCTCTTCTCGGAAACTTGTCTATTTCTTCACCCTGCTCTGGGTTCTTCTGGCCCCATAGGCAGTTCTGGAAACCTCATTCATGCTTGGGTCTCTGGAATTTATAATTCTAAAATGTCTGCACAAATGTCACCGGAAGATGGAAACACTGAGGCCCAGAGAAAAGAAAAGATTTGTTCAAGGACACCCTTGATTCTGAGGAAGAATCCAGATAGAACCTGGGTCTCTGTAAATGGTCTCAAGGCCATGGGCAAGAGCATTCAGCTGCTTAGGGCAACCATGCCAGGAAGGGCCTGGGAAAGGCAGGAAAACAAGTGGCCTTTGTTTTGACCCCATTTTAAAGAGCCATGTGTGGGCGGGTCTCAACAAGCTAGGGCCAGACCCAAGCTAAGGGGTTTGATGTCTGAAAAGCTGTAAGTACTTGAGCCTAGCAGCAACCAACATGTCTATACACATGTGTTGGGATTTTGGTATGCTCAGTGTTTAACTACACCAGCAAAGTCTGCAGGGCATGCTGCGAACATTTTAGAAATTCTCACCCCATCCCCCATTCATCTCCTGGGATTTGTGGTCACCTCAAAGGTGGGCAGTCTGAACATCTAGACATTTGATACAGGCAGTCCCTTTCTTCCTTACTCCTCATCATCATACCTAGGGACTGCTGTCCATTGCTGTTCACTGGATTTCAGGGGGCAATTCGAAGGGTTGTCAAGGTTCCATTTGAACCATAAGTGATTTTTGCTGAATTAAGAATCAAAACTTCAGAAAGGACTCTACCGAAGTCCTGTTTCCATAATTCCTGGCGCTGTCAGTGGTGCATCAGCAATGGACCTGGAGTTGGGAAGAAAGGTATTTATTGGAGTACTTCTAATCTGTAGAGATTTACAGAGCACCTGCCTTTAGCAAAATGCATCCGGCAGCCCCTTGCTCTCACTTTGAGGAAAGCTCTCCCTGCCTGTCGTGTAGAGTTCTGTATCCAGCAGGCACATAATACCTGCTCGTGACAACCCCGCCTCTCTCAGGAGGTGACTCCTCTGGGAGACCTGTGCATTAGATTGATGCTTCCCAAACCTACCATTGATGTTGTTCAAGTCCTGCTCCCAGATCTCCAGGGGGGCTGAGCAGAAGGACACAATTTCAACAAGTACCCCACATAATTCTGATTCCACCCACCTAACCCCAAGCACTTGGGAAGCCCCATCCTGGACCCTTTACCCCAAGGGTGGTGTGGACCCTGCTGGAAGCAAGATGGTGATTTTCCTGGGTCCTGAGCCAGATCTTCAATGACCCACCAGAATGCTAAGGACAGGCTTCAACAGAACCACCCGCGTATGGGAATTTCACCTCTTTGGACTTGTCTCCTCGTATTTACGTGGGGGTGCTGGGTCTAGATCAGAACTGCAGATGCAACTCAAGCCAGTAGAAATACTGCATTGGGCTCATATCATGATTTTTAAAAATTGAAGCCACATATAAAAATCAAGAGAGATCACTGACTTCTGGTTTGGTGTACCTACGTTGTCATAAGCCAAATGTTCGCTGGAGTTGAGAAGTCACTGCCCCTTTAAGAGAGGGCATGTGCTGTGTCCCACAGTCCCCATCACATCCTATTGGGCTCTCTTGGCCAGCTTCCGTTCACTGCTTGTTTGCTGCCTTCCTGGCCCCTGCAGGTGCTGGAGTTAAGGTCTTTGACTTCCCTGATCCCCAGTGTCCCTTGTATTTGTCCCATCCCACACGCCCAGGGCCTGCCACATTATCCTTCCCCAGCTTACAAGTTAATCATCAGCTTCTCCTTATGTAAATCAGAACAGGAAAGTCTTGCTTGGCCAATTCCTCCGAAAATCTTGGTCCGCTGCCTCTCTTCACCAGCCCGGTGTCCTGTGTCTGCCTGCTCAACATTTGTCTGCAGACAGGAAGCCCTTTCTTGTCCCTGACTGAAGCTCTCTGAGGCCAGCTGCGGCCGTGGAGGTGCAGGGAGTTCAGGCAGGCCAGCCGGATGAGCGGGGAGTTGGGGCACCAGGGCCAGACCCTGATCTGGGCTGTTTGGGTCCTTGCAGCTGCCACTGAGGGTGAGACACCCCATGGGAGAGGAGAGCCCTCAGAAGATGGGGTAGGGAGATTTCCTTACCATAGAGGATTTTCCACTAGTGCAAACAAACCCATCTCTCGGAGGTCCGAAGGCTCATAAAAGGCTATGTAGTAACCTCGGGGCACCTGACCAATGTCCTGGTGTTACTGAAAGCCGCCACCGTCCCCCTCCAGAGTCTCCTTTGTGGGAGTGGGTAGAGCGCAGAAGACCCCGGTCCTGTCTGTGAGTTGCTCACACCTTGTCGGAGGCACTGGGGAGGGACATAGGATGGAGCCCATGCTTTGTACTGCCGCCTGCCTGGACAGGACTTTCTCTATTAGAACAACATTAGAGCAGGTAGCACCAAGACACCTGAGTCCTGCTAAGTAAATAGCTGGCAGTGAACTTCTCAACACTCCATATTCTATGTGGAAACCGAGAAGCTTGCACTCTCGGGTTCCCAAAATGTCATCCTCATATCCCTGGGGGTGGATGAGCTGATGTCAGGTGGCATCAGCAGGAGAACTTTTTATTTTCATTGATGTATATTCATTTTCATGTGTATTCAAAACATAGGCCTAACTCATCCAAAGCACAAGTCCATAGATATTATTGCTTGGGATTCTTCTGGGTAAGATTTTTAAAGTTTATTTAAATTTAATTTTAAGAAAAAATCAAAAAGCTAGTAGTCATATTAGGGGATGCACAGACATGCCAGCAAGTGTGCTGATGGGTATGAAAATGACTCGGGGCCAGATGACTTTGTGGGATGCTAGGATCTGCAGAGCCTGGCATCTATCAGATCCAGAGTAAGGGAAATCTGCTCTGCGGAAGGGAGAGCTTCCTTGTTCCCCAAGGTGACTGGGGCAAATTTTGTGGCTCAATGTTGTGCTCCTAGGAGAAACTAAGTCGGTGCTCTGATGCAGGTGCCTTCTAAAGCAATCTTGAAAGAAGCCCTGGACAGGGGTTCGTTCATTGACAGGGAGTCTAGCTCCTTCCTGTTGCCCAGCCTCTGGGCCGAGAAAGAGTGCCCCCAGTGAGGGGAGCTTCTAGTTGGGCTCATTCCAGTTCTCTATCCAGCCACTCCTGATTCGTCCCTGTATGTTCCCTCAGGGCCAGCCGCGGATGCACCGGTGAGGAGCACCAGGCTGGGATGGGTCCGGGGGAAGCAAGCCACTGTGCTGGGAAGCACCATGCCTGTGAACATGTTCCTCGGGATCCCCTATGCTACGCCCCCTCTAGGACCCCTGCGATTTAAGAAACCCAAGCCTGCCTTGCCCTGGAATGACTTCCGAGATACCACGTCCTACCCTAAATTGTAAGAGCAGCCTCAGTCCCGTGGTGGAATGTGACCTGGGCATGGGGGCAGAGTACTGAAGGGGAATGAAGGTCATGCAGCTCCCTGGGGAAGGGGGGGGCACCGAGGAGGAGGAGGGGTGCAGAAGTGGACAAGGGCTTCGGTAATCCCATGGCCCCCCAGCTGGCTAATCAGCGGGATCACTGGTGGTGGTGTTCAGAGCACGCGGATTCCTTCTTGGGACTTCCTGAGTCAGAATCTCCAGAGCGGGGCCCAGGAAACTGGTTTCCCTGGAAGGTGTCTAGTGGTTTGAGGACCAGTTGGATTTGGAAACCACTATGACTGACTTACTGAGTCTTGGTCCAGGTGTTTCCATGTCACCCCCCACCCAGGCTTAGTCTCCAGGGTCCAGACTGGCTGAGGGCTTTGGGGTGAAGAACCACCCAAGAGGGATTTCAGCTCTAGCGCTCTGTGCCCAATGCAGGGAAATCCACAAACACCTGTGGAATAAATGCGCATGTCCTGGGTCAGGAGCCCCCCATCATTGCAAATGTTCAAGCTGAAGTGTGTGAATCGTGATGAGGACTTGAGCATAGGTTGGGAGGTGAGACTTGAAAATCCCCCAGAATCTTCTGATGCTCAGATTCTGGGAAGTCCTCAGGTTGGGCCACACTGGTTCTTGGTTCTTGGCCTTGGGGTCCCAGGCAGAAGGAGTACCCTGGTGCCAGGAAGCTCCCTAAGCCACAGAAGAAGAACCCATGTGGCCCAGGGACCAAGGACACTAAGCTGAAACTCATCTGTTCCTTCCTTCATGTATTCATTCAGCTAATATCCATTGAGAACCGACTCAGTAATTGCCTCTCTGTAAGGCCCTGGGGGCACACAGTGGGCTGGTCACAGCTGCCCTGAAGGAACTTGTAGGCTGGTGGGGGTGGTAGGGACATAAATAATAACAACAATTAAAATATAGAGTGACAAGGGCAACCTTTTAGGGGATCAGAGAAGGGTGCTGAGATGGAACCACCTAGCCTAACCTTGGAGGGAGGTCAGGGATGGCTTTGCTGAAACCAGTGAGGCCTTGATTTCTCATAAACAATATACAAAGGGGCAAAAATGCATAAGCACTTGTTGGGGGTAAATTTGCAGTGATAAGTACCGCCTAAGCTGTACACTCTTCTATTAAAAAAATTAACAGTAATTGAGCCCTGAGAATATTAGGAATCACATATATTGGTCTCACTCAATCCTACTGTGTCACATGCTCAGTCCTAGGGACTACGTGGTACTGAGGTGACTAAAACAGCTTTTAGCTGCTCACGTTTGAGCGGAGGAAGATGGTAACACTCGTGCAAGTCTAGGAGAACTTCAAGGAAAGAACACAACATATATAGGTGTTTCTAAAAAGCTGTGGTCTAACTGGAGAAATCTCAGAAGGCTCCTTGGAGGATGTGGCACTTGTACTGAATCTGAAAGACAGGGAAGAATATGAGCAAACATATGAGCAGAGAGCAGTCTGGGTGTAGGGACCAGCCTGAGCAAAGGCTTGGATACCGGAATTTCCCTGCACATCTACTTCCATTGGTTCCTGGTGGAAAGGCCTAGAAATGTCCTTTTGTTCCTTTGGGGGCTAGAAAAGGTAGCTGCTAGAGCAAAGCCCTTGCTATGTAACCTAGTGTCTTGCCCTCTAGGTTGGGGAATTGTTGAGGCATGTTGAATCTTTATGTGTGTGTCTGAATTGTGGTAGTGGCTGTAGGCATGGATGAGTGCTGGAAGTTAATGATACAATTATTCTGCATGACGTGCTTTCCTACCCAAACACCAGATAAAAAAGAATTATAGTGTGTTTCTTTGTCTGTGCCACCATGGTGGGGGCCGGGGAGCTGATTAGACTTTGTACCAGTAGCTCCCATATGCCTCTTCCACTCAGACACGGGAGACCACCAGGCCTCTCTGCAGTCACAAGGCCTGGCCCCTCCCAGGCAAGTTAGCTGACAGCAACTCTGAGGATTTCTCCTTCCTTCCTCCAAGGTGCTTCCAGAACTCAGAGTGGCTGCTCTCAGATCAACACTTTCTCAAGGTTCATTACCCCAAATTGGAAGTGTCCGAAGACTGCCTATACCTTAACATCTATGCGCCAGCCCATGCGGACACCGGCTCCAAGCTCCCCGTAAGGCCGCTTGTCATGCCGGGACTCCAGCTAGCGGGTTCGTGCCCAGGGACCCAGGCAGAGTGGCTAGAATCAAACCTACCCCCTGTTGGGTAAAAGGGAAATGTAATCACTTGATGCATCAATAACTCTTAAAAAGTCATTTAATGACAGATTCACTTTATCTTCCTTTCTGATTGCTTCTTTGTTGGCAGTAACTTGACTTCACCTTTGATTTTTATTTGGTTTTGTTTCCCCCCCTGTTGAGTATTTAATGGTCTGTAAATATTTAGAAAGACACTGCTTAAAAGGACCCTGATTTTCTGTTTGCTAGTTTGTTTGGGAAATCCTTTTTTAAAAAGGATCATTTCATCCTCTAGTTTTTCTGTTTGCAGTGAGGACGGTAATAATATTAAGTATTTCATTTAAGAATGTAGAATATCTCTGTATAAGTGAGCGGGAAAGGTATTAATTTTTAACCACACTCTCCTGTATCCGTCTCCCCTTTGCCGGTGCAATGGGAGACTCAATCTGTTGGATCCTAACAATATGTATTGAGCACTGACTATGTGCCAGCCACAGTATATTATCTCATTTAACCCCCACAGTAACCGGTGGGTAAGGATTATTGGACCCATTATACAGATTAAGAAGATGAGGCACGGGGATGGCATAAGTGACTTGTTCCACGCTGTACACACAGTAAGTGGCAGGTCCGATGCCAAAGCCAGGGCTTTGTCTGGTCCTTCTTTTTCCTCAGTGGCTTTATTCTCTTTTCCTACCCCAAGAGCTGTAGTCCCTAGTATGACTTTAAAAAAGAGAAGGGCGGGGCACCTGGGTGAAGCATCGGACTCTTGGTTTCTGCTCAGGTCGTGATCTCAGGGTCGTGAGATCGGGCCCCATGCTCAGTGTGGAGTCTCCTTAAGATTCTCTCTCCCTCTGCTCCTCCCCACCTGCACTCTCTCTCTCACTAAAATAAATGAACAAATCTTTTTTAAAAAGAGAGAATGGAAAGGATTTATTAATAAGTATATCAATCCTGATAGTACCATGTGAATGTTTAATGTTCCCCAGTCCAAATTTTTCTAATCAATATAGTAAAGTTTTCACATTTCTCTTCCCTGTCATCTCTCCTCGCTTCTCTTCTCTCTGTAGGTAGGGGAAGGAGTGAAGTTAAAACAACTTAAGTGGTTTTTGCTCTCCTACATGGCTTACAGTGATTTCCTTCTTCCTATGGGTCACAAGTTCAGAGATATTTAGTTAATACTTTCTGAGCACTTGAAATTGTTCGAAGAACTTTAGATGTAGGATCTTGTTTAAAATCTCGCGATAACCCATCAGTGAGATACTTTCATTCTTCACATCTTACAGATGAGAAAAATGAGCCTCAGAGAGGTTAAGTAATCTGCCCAATGTCACACAGCTCATCTGTGGCAGAGCTGGGAATCAAACCCAGGAGTAGCCAGGTGCCAGAGCCCACAAGCTTACCCCGGGGGCTTCTTCAAAAGACAAAACCTCTGATGCTACTTAGAAAGGAAAGTGAGACGCTTATATTTCCCTAAAGAAAGAAGGTCCCAGAATGCATAGGGAGGGGATGTGAGTTTCTGGCAGGTTGACTAGAAAGGTCTTCTCCCTTCCACAGGTCATGGTGTGGCTCCCCGGCGGTGCCTTCGAGACTGGATCAGCCTCCGTCTTTGACGGGTCCGCCCTGGCTGCCTATGAGGACGTGCTGATTGTGACGACCCAGTACCGGCTAGGAATATTTGGTTTCTTCAGGTGAGTGTCCCCACGCGATCGACACCCCGGATCCCCAAGGCACAGCTGTGGGCAGCCATAGGGGATTCAGTGCCCAGCCGCCTAGGGAGGAATGAGCCTTCAGTGACATTGAACAAATGTGACCCAAAGTAGTTAGGTAATTTTTGCAGCAGGAAGAGATTAACCCCCAAGTCTTGGTGGCTTAAAACCAAAAAAAAATCTTTCTCACTCAAGTAAGGTCCAACTGAGTGATCCTGACTGACAGACATCTTTCCATGTGGTCCATCAGGGACCAGGGTCCTTCTATCTCATGGCTCTGCCCTCCTTAAGGGCCCAGACCCTCTGCATTTGACCGGCAGATGGACAAACAGAGCCTCCACCTCGAACTCCTTGAGCTTCAGGAAGCAGATTGACATCCACTGAGTATTCTCACCCTGCCTCTTGCCCCAGTACAGGGGACCAGCATGCTCGGGGGAACTGGGCCTTCCTGGACCAGATGGCCGCCTTAACCTGGGTTCAGGAGAACATCGAGTTCTTCGGTGGGGACCCACGCTCTGTGACCCTCTTTGGCGAGTCAGCGGGAGCCATAAGTGTTTCCAGCCTTGTGAGTTCTTCTCTTTGGGGGGCTTGAACGAAACTCAGTGGGAGAGGTCACAGAAATGAGGACCGTGAATCACTCGTAGCTGATTGGTGCTTCACGTCGAACAGACACCTTGTCTCCCTCAAGCCTCCCATCATGAGTTAGAGGCTCAGTCTCCTTTCATGGACAAGAGCTGTCATCAGGAAGAGTTTAAATGAACTGCCCAAGATCACCTAGTGAGTAACAGTTTGAAGAAAAATCCCTTATATTTATAGGGTCGAAGCCCTGGTATCTAATTACCAGGACAGGTAATTACTCATTTAATAGAAAAATTCAGCTAAAACGTAAAGTAACAAAGGATGCATATAACATTTTATTTCAAATTCCAACATAAAGTGTGCATTTTTCCACCAATGGTTTGATACGGTGCTGTATCTTTTCAGGGTCAGTCTGTTGGCCGGAGATCCACTGTGGGCTCTGGGCATAACCCCCTCCCCCCAGGTTCATTGTCCTCTAACAGCTGCTTTAGCTTCTTTACAGCGAGCACAAACTTGAGGTGCCTGCCTTGTAGTCTGTGAATGCAGCGTGCTCATGGAAGCTTCTGCTGCCTCCCCACATATCTTATACTCTTACCTCGTTCACACCAAATTAATCTGATGGTGGTATTTTTCAGCTACTTGCCTTCATCAAAGGTATCTTTCCCCAAACATAATTTTGTTTTCTTTTTACACGCATACTTCATTGGTTCCCACGATATTTCATCGATTAGGTCATTACAATAGCAAGTGTAACTGACAAAGCAAGTTTGGGAGCAAATGCCCCTGACACGTGGCCAGAAACCGGTGGGAATAGAAAGGTGTGTGGTGCTAGAAAACAGCCCTCTGGCTCCGAGGGGTCGGCATCTCCTGGGCCTCAGCTAACAGGTTAATCACAGAAGGCAGTTACATGGAAGTGGGTTAAGAGAGCTTCTGCTGTATAGCACTGGACAATATACAAGATATTTTTCTGTCTTCAAGATAACTCGATAAGGTGAATTAGAGTAAATCAACTTTTACATATATGATGACAGCCACCGTTTCCTGAGTGTGTAGTATTTGACCAGGTGTCGTGCAAGGCCTTCTATATACGTTACTTCTGCTCTACAGAACAGTTCTGTGATATGGGCTCCATCTTTCCTTCCAGTTTTGCAGGGAGTAGATTGATGCTCAGAAAGATATACAAAACTTGCCTGAGGTTCTCCAGCCAGGAAGGAGCTAGCACTGACACACTAGAATGTTTGACCTCAAAGTTCCTGGGAGCTTGGGGCTCAGAGAAGTTAAATAACTTGCCCAAACTTTCATGGCTCGTCCTTGAATCCCCAAACCAGGGATTTTTTTTTTTTCCTCCTGTATGTGTAGAGCTTTTAAGGAGACTTCCTGGGAAGGTTTCTTTAAAGAAGGATGGGTGGTGTGTTTAATGGATGGGGAGTCCCCTGCCTGACTTTTCCTGGTCTCCTGTCTTCTCATTCCAGATTCTATCCCCCATGGCGAATGGCTTATTCCACAAAGCCATCATGGAGAGTGGGGTGGCCATCATCCCTTTCCTGAGGGCCCTCGATGATGAGAGGAATGAAGATGTAGGTATACTGTTAACACCCCTCTAGCTTCCTCTGCTTGGTCTGGGGAGAACATGGTCAGGTGTTGATTGACCATGTGCTTGGCCATCCTTACCGACCATGGCCAAAGAATCCAATAATGGCCAAGGCGAACCTTACTGCTCCATGGAAGGCCTGGTTCAGGAAGTAGGTCTCCAGCGCAGTACAGCTGGGGCACATGAATGTGTGTGCACATGTGTACATGAATGTCTATGTGATAGTTCTTACATCTTATTCACTATTCTTCACCTGGGATAGATAACTCAGTCCCCTGTGTAATATACAGCTCATTTCCGGTACCTACTCCATTCCACCTAGAGTGCTATGTTAAGAAAGATTCTGAAGCTGTTTCCAGTTCAGTGGGAAAGAACACTGTGACTGATGCATGTTGCCTGGCATGAGATTGTAAGGGGGCGGTGAGGCATATGCCCCAGACTTTTGTCATCTGTCATCTTGTTTAGTGCTCTACCAAGCAGTGAGGACCTGGAGACCAAGGTCTGTGTCTCTTTCATGTCCCAGCATAATGCCTGGGGTCTAGTAGGTGACTATTGATGTTTGCCGAATGAATGAGTTAGCAAATGAGCTGATTCAGTCAATGAATATTAGCATGGGGCTGTGGAGCCATCTCCTGGGGACTGTGCATTTTAGTAGTATATTTGCTTAAACACCTTGTAGAAAATAACGGTGTACACCAAGAGCAGAGACCTAGAGATATAATATTGTAAACATACCCTCAATACACAGGGAATATTGATTTGGAGAACACAATATATCAGCTTTCGGTTTGTGCACGTACTTATTCATTCAGCATACATATATTGAGTGTCCCTTTTCCCCCCAGCTCTATGTTAGGACCTGTGGGTTTATAGATGGAGACAGGCCACACTGACTTGAGAAGACCATCATCTTTAACCTGGAGTCCAGGAAAAGTCTGGGAGGTGGTCCTTGAGCTCCTACAGTTGTAGGCAGATTCTGTATGTTTGTGCATTTTCCCAGGGAGAGGGTTTGTAGTTGTCATTGGATTTTCAGAGCCTTCGTGACTCCCAAACACTTAGGGACCACCACTTTCAAGGGACAAGTGCCCAAGGAAAGTTCAGTGACTGGGAGAGATAGTGTTTAGGAAAAGGCTAGGAAGAGCAGGTAGGAATCCGTGACATGACAGGAAATTAGAGAAGGAGGGAGTTCATGAAAGGACATCCCAGAGGAGGTGGGGATGAGTGGAATTGGTGGGAGACAGAAAAAGATGTTCAGGGTTTTCCAGGCTGCAGTGGGGGTGAGGCTGAGCAGAGCTGACAAGCTGAGACTGAGCCAGAGTCATGCCTCAGCATACAGTTAAGTCATGCTGGCAAAGCTGCTCCTCACTCTTGGAGCTCCTCAGTTGGGCTTCTGGGCTCAGTGGGGCCTAGTGCCATGGAGTCAACGTCATAAGACTGGTGTCTCCGTGACCAGGAAGCTTGACTCTGTTCGGTAGCCACAGACTGACACACCACCTCCCCCAGCTCCAGCGGTTGCTGAATACGGCCAGGAGGGTCAGGCAGGAGCGTGAAGAGGTCCAGGGCCAACCGGTCCTCAATGAGTACATTCTGTTACATGTACATGGGGGTGGGGAGGGGCAGCAGGCTTCATATATGAAGAACCAGCCTGGGGCTGGATCAAGGACTCTTGTCAACTTTCATTTTCTTGGCGGCCTTCAATGCTGTGCTCTGACCCAGTCCTCTGGAAATAGTTGCAGGTGATCACGCATATCTGTGGTTGCAACGCGTCAGACTCTGTGGCCTTGCTGCTGTGCCTGAGGGCAAAATCCCCCGAGGAGTTGTTGGACATCAACAAGGTGAAGACGGACAGGAGGGTCTGTGCAAGGTGTCGTGCAAGGTGTCGTGCAATTGAGAGATTCCACCACGCTCTTACTTACTTTGATTTGGGACTTGGAAAGATGGAGGTTGGGATTCATAGTAATGGCCATAGAAACGCAAGGTAGAATATGTAGAACCCTGATAGGTAATTTAAGGAACTTGATGGGCCCGGGGTGCTGCTTAGCCTGGAGAACATCCAGGAAAATATGAAGGTTATCTCTAAGTCACCAGGAAGAGGGACAGCACCTGTTCCACATGCTGCCAGAAGTTAATTCAATGCCAAGAGCTGGAGTTCTGTAGGGAGCCATTTTGGCTTGGTATAACCAAGAATTTTCTAAAAACTCAGCTGTCTTCAAAACAGCCAGCTCCTAGATAAGGTAGTGAGACACCCACCTCTATAGGTATGCAAGCAGAATCTCGATGACTGCTGACAGATTTCAGTCCCTGGATGATTCATTGGACCAAATGAGCTGTTATGTCCCTTCCAACCTTGAGAGCTTCTGATGGTCTTGGAAGAGCGAGGTCATTATCTGTCAGATTCCAACATTTGTTAAGTAGTTATTTGGCATGGATGAAGGGTCTGCTGTGAGCAGTGCTGGAATCTGGGAGCTGGTTACCAAGTCCTTGACCTGATGTAGTGTGAAAAGTCTTCTATGTACTCCCTTCCACTCCTGTTCCCAAACAGAGACCCCAGAAAACTTTGGATAGAGCCAGGTGTTGCTTCCTGAGACCCAAGAACTATCCAGCCAAGTCGAAGGCAAAGATACACCAACCCCCACTACTCTGGCCACCTCCAACCCCCCCAGCCAACGCCTGCCCCTAGCTCACCACTCTGCCCATTGCATTTGGCCAGTGGTTCTCAAACTTGAGCATGCATCAGAATCACCTGGAGGGCTTGTGAAACAAGTTGGCCGGGCTGTACCCCCAGAGTTTCAGATCTAGTAGGCTTGGGCTGGGGCCTGAGAATTTGTTTCTAACAAGTTCCCAGGTGATATGCTGATGCTGCTGGTCCAGGACCCATACCTTGAGAACCACTGTTGTAGGCTCCTGTCTTTTTTAGGTAGATACTAATTATTATCCTCATTCAGCAGATGAGGACTCTAGGCAGGAAGCTGAGCCCCTTTGCCCAAGTAAGTGCCTTGGGAAGGGCCAAAGGTGGCTTATTTTTCCTTTCTTAATGCAGTTTGACCACTGCTGGAGTGGGTTGGCTTTGCTGGGCTAAGGGTTTGGGGGACAGCGGATTTTATGAACAGAAACAGATGCTGATTTTTCTCTTCTTCCTTATTCCAGAAAACCAAGTCTTTCACTCGAGTGGTTGATGGTTTTTTCTTTCCTGATGAGCCTCTAGACCTATTGACTGAAAAAACATTTAATTCAGTTCCTTCTGTCATCGGAGTCAATAACCACGAGTGTGGCTTCCTGCTGCCCATGGTAAGAATCCCAGCTGTCCTCCCTGTCTCTCCCTCAGCCGTGAGGCAGCTGTGTGCTTCCAAGCTGAGCACTCCCATGCATGACGCCAAGTGCTCCGAGGGGACCCGGCAGCCAAGGATGAAGAAATGCCCCTTCCTCTCGCTCAAAGGGCATAACTGAGGATTGGGGGCAGCCGTAGCCAGTGTCTGCCCTGCTCCTCATATAAGGCTTATAGAGAAAGAAACAACTCTATAAAAAAGTAAGGGAGGATGGGATCCATTTGAGCTTTGATCAAAACATTACAAAGGATTGTTTCAAATTAGCACACTACAGTTCAGAGATGAAATTCACGCAGGTTTGGAAAATTTCAGGCCTTTACATTTTCACGTCCAGCCTCGGTTCTGGCATTTTGACTTCCAAGAGAGCTCCCGAGGCTCGTCCAAGTTGCAAAATTATTGAATCGCTTTAGGCATTCAACAAGTATGAATGGAACACTTGCTACCTGCTCTACACTCTTGGCAAAACCCAAGTGTTCAATAGTAAACAAGTCACACGGCTCCAGCTTTCAGCAAGCTCCCCTCTGAGTGAGGAGAGCAGATGAAATGCAAGGTTGAGTAGATGGTTTCAGGAAGGGGCAAGTGCTATGAAGGATGTAAACTGGTAGAAGATCTTTAGGGAGGAGAAGGGGTAGAGAGGAAAGGCTTCTCTGAGGAGGGATCATTTGTGCTCAGGCTGAATGCTGAGAAGGAGCCATGATTCCTTGACCCTGCCATTTAAGAAGGCCCTCCTGATTCGAAATAAACTTTTCATCTGTCCTCAGAAAGGAGGAATGCCCAAATTCATAATATCACCATGGCTCAGTTATAGAGACCAATCTCCTCCTTTTAAGCTGAGAGAGATGAGGTAATGAAATACAGGGTTTGCCAAGGTTAGATGCTAGTTGGTGCTGTTTAGAACCAGAACCCCGAGTTCCTTGGGCTGTCAAAGGCATGTTCTGCCATGATGAATTTGACCTACAGAGCAATGTTTTGGGGTAAGTGGGGGTGGGGATCTTTCTCTTCATGTTGTAAATGAGGCAACTGAGTCACAGACTGTGGCTTAAGGAAGGCCCTTCAGTACTTCCAGGTCTGTGCCAGAAAAAAGAAGGCAGGTGCTCCTGATGACAGCCACCACCACCGTAACCACTGCGACCAGTCCCGAGTGCCTTCCACGTGCCAAGTGTATGCCAATCGGTGTAACACCTTGCAAACGGGCATTAGTAGTTAAAGAAACTTAGCCTCAGAAAAGCTAAAATTCCTTTCCAAACTCTCCCAGCTGGGAAGGAGACAGTGGTGTATACTTTTTTTCATGCGCTTAGGCTCTGCCATTAAATGTTGGGTTCTTTGTTAACCTGCTGTGTCACCTTAAGTGAACTGCCCAACCTCTCTGAACCTTTATTCCTTTAATCTGTGAAATAAGACTGATCTTACTACCTGCTTCACAAGTACCCATCAAATAGCCTGGCATATAGCAAGTGCTCAGTAAATGTTAGATATTGGAATTATTCAAGTGGTACCATGATATTTGGTGCCCAGGTCTGCGTAGGTCAGGAGCCTGGGGCGGCGCTGTTATATCACGTGACCTTGCAATTACATCCACTGCTGGTCGTTGGAGACTGTGCGTAATCCTCCAAAAACAAATCTCAGCTCCTGAACTTATAGAGAGGTTCTCTGTAGCTGAAATATACTTGTGGATAAATTGAATGACCCTGGAGATTCCCTCAGATGCCAGGAGACAAAGTTGTTTAAATATTTACCCTGGTGATTTATTATCCCAAGATTTTCAGCAGAAAATGTCAAAGAGAAATTCATTTGACAGGTGAAGAGTACTCTACCCTCTCATGTTTTTAAGCTGTAGAACTGGCCAGGGAGACGTCAGTTAGCAAATAATTACCCATAGCTTGTACTAGGTCCCAGGCAGAGCCTAGGTTCTTAACCCCTAGCCTTGCCACCTCACTGGCTGTTGGCAAACTGCTGGCTTCTCAGAAGCCCTGATTGCAAAGGTCTTGAGAAAGAGAACTTTAAGTCACTGGCTTCAAGATTTTCTGGTCTCTGTTTGGACTTGATGCCAAAGCCAAGGTGTAGGCTGTTATCAGTTTGCCAGGGCCTCCCTAACAAAATACCACAGACCAGATGGTTTAAACAACAGAAATTTATTTTCTCACAGTTCTGGAGGCTGGAAGTCCCAGATCAAGGTGTCAGCAGGTCCAGTTTCTTCTGGGGCCTCCCTCCTTGGCTTGCCTTCTCCCTGTGTCCACACATGATCTTTCCTCTGTGTGCACACATCCCCGGTGCCTCTTGTGTGTCAGAATTTCCTCCTCGTATAAGGCCACCAGCCAGCTAACGTCCTCTCTCTCATTTAATCACTTCTTGATCTACAAGGTCTATATCTATATGGTCACATTCTGAGGTAGTGGGGGTTAGGGCTTTAACATGGGAATGTGGGGGGGGGTTGTCAGCTCATAACATGGCCTTTCCACAGAGCAGCCACTCGGGCCCCACAAGACCACAGGTATGGCAGGGAATGGCTGCCTTTTAGCAAATGTGGGAAGAAGAAACTTCATTGCTCCACCAACCCACTGAGCCTGCTCCTGCATGTCGCTCCCTGGGGGCTGAACAGGTTCCTGCTCTCCAGCCTGTCTTCTAAAAGGCAGGCACTGTGACACTCAGAGAGACCGCTTTCCCTTCTGGTGACCTGAGGTGCTCACAGAGGACGCCCTACTTCTCTCCACAGAAAGAGTTTCCTGAGATCCTCGGGGGCTCCAACAAGTCTCTCGCCCTGCACTTGCTACACACAGTCCTGGTAAGTGAGCTTGGGCAACTGATTTTTCAGTCAGCTATTTAACAAACCTCCTTGGGCCACACTCAGGAGAAGGGGCTGGGTCTATAGACGTTCCTCATTCACTCATTCAGTGAATCTTTGCTAAGTAGGGCTCCACCGTCCCTTATTCAGTCTCAAAATCCAAGGAGCTCTGAAAACCAGCCCACAGGGCAGCCACACTTGCCCCAGCTGATATGTGGCCACTGGTCCTTACTGTTCCCATTCACATCATTCATCCCACTATTCACATGCTTCTCTGCGGACACGGTAATGTAGGGGCTGAGGGGGCCACCCCCCAGAACATGTGACATCATATGCAGCCTCGGTACTGAATTATCTGTGTACAGTCTGAAAAACTATAAATTCTGAAACATACCTGGGACTAGGGACCCATGTTTACTAGATGCCAGCGAGGCACTGTATTAGGTTCTAGCAAGACCAAGGACCATTACTCGATCATTTATTCATTGACTCCCTGAACAGATGTATCAGTATCAGGTCTTAAGCCAGACACTAGACTTAGGGATGGATTCCTTTCTCTTCTTCGGTCTTCTTGCCTTAAACATTTATCCAGCGTGAACTCTGTACCTGGTTCCTTTCTTTCACTTAGTCATTGAGAGGCCACATGCCCCAGGGCTTCCCTACACACTGAGGTACTGAGGTGCAACGAGAAGCAGGCATTCCCTTTATGCTCGTAGAATCCGCAGACCGTGGGGTAGGTGGAAGGAGGAGGCACTTCGGCACAGTGTCTAACAAACCAGATCAGAGGAATGTCCGAGGCCCTCTGGTGCCCTTGGGAGGGAGCAGGTGGCTCCCTCAGGGAGAAGGGCCTTGAAGAATGAGTTAGGTTTGTCCGGCTGATAGAGGAACAGGGGCCAGGGGCTCTGCTGGTCATATGGTCCAAGTCAGGGGCACTTGCACCAGAGCCTGGAGTTGCTCTGGGCCTGATTAAAAACACCCAGCCTTCAGAGGACCCGCTGAATGAGTCTGAGCAGTACTCCCAGGTGTCCTCTGTACTGTCTCCAAATTCCAAAGCAACTTCTACAGGGCTGTACCTGTTTTCATGTGGCAAGTGGGAGGACTGATGGTCCAGGTGCCATGACTTGTCCCAGCACTTCCCAGGCCCCCAGATCCCCAAGAACATCACCAGTGTGGCAGACCCTGAATCTTCATGAAGTTTACTTTTCACTGGCCAGCGTTTGTGCTTGGGGCAAGTTGAGGGATGGAAGCCTGGGAGGCAGCCCTGTCCCGGGTCAGGAAAGCACAGAATGCCCTGTTCAGGGATTTGGCAACAGGTCTCAGGGGAGACTGACAAAACTGAAGACGGGGCTCTGTGTCAGACAGCACGTTTCTCATGTAATTCTCCGAACAACTCATTTTTTATAGATAAGGGAACTCCAACAAGAGACTTGTTCAAATCAAACAGCAAAGGACTGGAGGCAGCACTGCTTCCAGAAGCAGGGTCCCAGTAGCGGTCACAAAGGTCTACACTCAGAAGAGTCCTACACTTGGTTGACAGGGATGGCTGTTTCTGAAACATCTCAGAGAGGCCTGCGCACTGTGATTAGGAGCACGCAGTCTGCTGCAGATAGACTTGTGGAAGAATCATTGTTGCACCAGTTTGGACAACCACTTACCCTCTCTGGGCCTCAGTTCCCTCATCTGTGAAATGGGGCTAATTTTGATATTTGCCCCATCGGGTCACTGTGTGAATTAGATGAGACAATGCATGTAAAGACCCCAGAATCATGCCTGCCCAAGCAAATGCTCAGCGTGTTGGCTGTTGTTGACCTGGGTCTCCTGTGACCATGATTTTTTTACAGCACATCCCCAACCAGTATTTATACCTTGTGGCTGATCAATACTTCTCCAACAAGCATTCCCCGGTTGAGATACGAGATAGTTTTCTGGACTTGCTTGGAGATGTGTTCTTTGTGGTCCCTGGGGTGGTCACAGCTCGATATCACAGAGGTGAGTCTCTGAGTACCCCCAGCCCCCACCCCACGGCAGGGTCACAGCCCAGCAAGGCCAGTGGCTGCAGAGAGTCTTGTGGCCTGATGACTGGCACCTGCTCCACCCTTCTGTTCCCTCAGTGAGAGGGAGTTCTCAAGAATGTGTGGGATATAACCCTACACATTGACCTTTGCAATTCCTGTGCCTTTCAGAGTTCAGGGATGTTGACCAGTTCTGTTGTTTCTGTTTCTTCTCCTTCAGGACCATGCAAAAAATGCCCACCTCCCCATGATTTGGGGGGGACTAGTTTCCCAGTCTCCTTTCTCTTTGGAAGTGTCTTCCCAAGCATTTTAGCTCTAAGGAGTAGTGGAGCCACCAGAAAGAGAGTATTATTTGGGAGAACACAAACCTTGTCTCCCTCCCTCGCCTCTCCCTGCTCTAATTCCTTCTCTCTCTCCTTCTCACTCACTCTCTCTTTCTTCTATTCCCCTTTCCTCCTCTTTCCACAGTTTTTTGTTTTTTTTTTTTTTTTTACCAAGAGCCTACTATGTGCCTGACAGTATTCTGGGCCCTAGAGATACATCAGTGAACAAAACAAAGACCCTGCCACCATGAAACTCACATTCTCGTTGGGGAGATTGATAACAAACAAGTAAAGATAGAATATGTATGTGTTAGAAGATAAAACAGGGCAGGGGATAGCAGTTGCAGGGTGCTGTGGGATTCTGTATCATAAGGTCTATGGAGGTGATGAGGGAATGAAGACCAAGAATTGACTCTTGAATTTGGAAACAAGATCACTGGTGACCTTGACAGGAACTATTGTGATGGGATGATGTAGATAAAAGTCTGGTTAAAACGGATTCAAGAGAAAATGAGTAAACTGATCTTCAGAGAATACATCCCAATCTCAAAATCTCAACAGTGGTTTTGGAAAAAATGAATGAACTGATTTTAAAAATTTACGTGGAAATGCAACTATAGCCAAAACAATCTTGAAAAAGAATAACAAAGTTAGGGGGCTTACAGGTCATCTGATTTCAAGTCTTATTTTTGAGATGCAGGAATTAAGAATGTCTGGTATTGGCTGAAGGACAGACAAATAGAACAGAGTGGAGAGTCCAGAAAATAGTTAGCCAATTTTTGACAGAGATGCTGAGATAATTCAGTGGAGAAAGGAAATACTGTTCAACACACAGAGCTAGAATAACTGGATATTTATGTAGAAAAAGTGAACCTCAACCCCCTAACTCACACTATACACAAAAATCAATGTGAGATGAGTTGTAGATCCAAACGTAAAAGCTAAAATTGTACTTAAGCAAAATTAATATATATTTTTTTGCTCATCAAAAAACACTGTTAACAATGTTAGCAAAAATAGTGGAGGAGGGAATTCCAAAAATCTGTCCCACTACAAAAGCAATGAATAAACTGATAAGTACTGTCAGAATCAATTTTATCAGAACTTAGAAACAAATCAAGGGTTTATAGCAAGCAAGTGAACATTTAATCAAGATATAGATCCTTGAGTCTCAGTGAGAGAGTGTGGCATTTCAACTTACTCTGTACCATTTCCTGCTACCAGCTGGGCAGTGGCCTTTAAGACAGCAGCCCCACCTTTATAGTATAGGCTCCTAGTACTGGAGGGAGAAAAAAGGACCTTATACTCAAAGAATTGTGGTTTTTTTCCTTTGATCTATCTGGTGGCTCCCTAAACAACTAAGCTCAAGGGGCTTGCTTTTATTTCACCTAACCCAGAACTGTCTCAGGGATTAGGAACCTACCTGGAGGGCATTTTTCATCAACATTTAAGGGTAAATGCATTTGCTGGGGTGCCTGGGTGGTTCAGTTGGTTAAGCGTCCAACTCTTGATTTCAGCTCAGGTTATAATCTCAGGGCGGTGAGACCGAGCCCTGTGTCCAGTTCTGCACTGGGAGTGGAGCCCGCTTAAGATTCTCTCTCTCCCTCTCCCTCTGTCCCTCCCCACCCCTGCTCACATGCACACATGTGTGCATGCTCTCTCTAAAAAAAAAAAAAAAAAGTAAATGTATTTGTTGCTGCCACCAGAGGCAACAGATAACAGTTGGAATAAACAATAGACAACACTTAGGAAGAAAAGCTGGGCAATGGAATGCTCTGGGAATAAAGGTTTGAGAAGTTCCCTCATGTCCCTGGGAAATTAGAAGGCCTTGTGCATGTCCAGAGTGGGGAGAATGCTCAGAAAAGGCCTGAGATGGCCCTAAGCTGTTATATCTGGCTGACCTGAAGGCTCTTCTCTTACAGAGAGTGGAAGCTAAGTAAGAGTTGTAAACTGTCTAGCTGAGTGTTGAGGGTGTGCTTCAACACACACATAATGCCCATCTTCAAAGATTGGGAGATTTTGTTTGTTTGTTTTAGGCATTTATGAAAATCTCAGCTGACTCATAAAATTATTAGTTGACCACTAAGATAACAGGAGAAAAAAGACTGGTGGCCACACATGACAAAGAATAGTCAAAATTAGTACGGAAACATTTCTAAACAAGCTAACAACAGCAACCACAACAAGCAGTAACAATAAACCATGGCAAAGGGGTAGAATCTGATGTTCAGATTTGCCATGTTATAATTTTAAAAATCTCCAGTGTTCAACCAGGCATGCAAAGAGATGGGAAAGTATGGCCCACAGACAGGAAAAAAAGAAATTAATAGAAACTGTCCCTGAAAAACCCCAGACATTGGATTTACTAACCACTTTAAACCAACTATTAAATATACTCAAATAGCTATAAAGGAAACCACATATAAAAAATTAAAGGAAACCATGAAAATGATGTTTTACCACATAGAGAAGCAATAAAGAGAAAATTTATAAAATTATAACAAGGACCAAATAGACATTCTGGCATTGCAAAATACAGCAACTGGAATGGAAAATTCACTAGAGGGACTCAATGGCAGATTTGATCATGGAGAAGAAAGAAAGAAACAGAGAACTTGAACATTAATCCATTGAGATTACCCAGTGTGAGGATCAGAAAGATAAAGGAATGAAGAAAAATGAACAGAGCCCAAGAGATCTGTGGAACACCATGAAACATCCCAACATATGCATGATAGGACTTCCAGAAGGAGAGGAAAGAGAAAAGAGGTAAAAATAATATTTAAAGAAATAATGATCAAAATGTCTCAAATTTGATGAAATTTGAATCCCAAGTAGGAAAAACTCAAAGAGATCCACATAGAGACATAATCAATCAAACACCAAAAACAGAGAAATTCCTGAAGGCAGTTAAAGTGAATAGACTAATCATGTACAAAGTAGTTTCAATAAGATTAACAGCTGATTTCTCAACAGAAACCACAGAGGCCAGAGGCAATAGAATAACATATTCAAAGTGCAGAATGAAAAAAAAGCCTGCCAACCAAGAGTTCCATATCTGTCAAAACTATCTTCAGAAATGAAGGGGTAATCAAGACATTACCAGATAAACAAAAATTGAGAGAGTTTGTCACTAGTAAACCTGCCTGAAAAATGCTAAAGGGAGTCCTTAAGGCTGAAACAAAAGGACACTAGACAGAATCTCAAATCCACAAGAAGAAAAAAGAACACTATTAATGGTACTCACATTACTTATGTTTACTTATAGAAGTCAGTATTGATTTATTTTTGGTTCTCTAATGTCTCCTTGTTTTCCTATATGATTTAAAAACAACTGTACAAAATAATAATTATAAATCTGTTTTCACATACAATGCATCAAGATCCAATCTGTGACAATAACAATATAAAGGCGCAGAGCTATAAAGGGGGAAAGCTTTTGTATACTATTGAAACAAAGTTGGTATTAATTTGAAATAGATTATTATAAATTAGGATGTTAATTGTAACCCCAGGGCAACCACTTAGAAAATAACTAAAAATATGTATAGTAAAAGAAACAAGAGGGGATCAAAATGGTACACTGGAAAATATTATGGTAATGGAAGACTTGAAGAATAGAAAAGATATAAGACATATGGGAAACAAATAGTAAAATGGCAGAAGTAAGTCTTTCATAGTCAGTAATTATACTAAACGTAAATGGATTCTCTCAAAAGGCAGAGATTGCAAAATGAGTGGATTATAAAAACAGTCCAACTGTATGCTGTCTACAAGAGAGTCACTTTAGAACTAAAGACACAAATAGGTTGGAAGTGACAGTGGATTCTTAGATATTACAACAAAAGCATAATCAAAAAAGAAAAAAATCCAGATAAATTGGACTTCATTAAAATGAAAAATTAATGTGCATCAAAGGGCAATATAAAGAAAGTAAAAAAGACAACCCGCAGAGTGGAAGAAAATATTTGTAAATCATTTATATGATAGGGGTCTATTATTTGGAATATACAAAGGACCCTTATAACTTGGCAAAAAGCCAAACAAGTCAATTCAAAAATGGGCAAAGGATTGAATGGACATCTCTCCAAAATAGATATACAAATGACTAATAAGCACATGAAAAGGTGATCAACATTATTAACCATCAGGGAAACGCAAATCAAAACCACAGCAACATACCACTTCATACCCACTAAAGTGGCTATAATAAAAAAACCAACAAACCAAAACCCAGAAAATAACAGTGTTATTGAGAATGTGGAGAAACTGGAACTCTCACATCCTGCTGGTGGGACTGGTAAATGATAAATGCAATGCGGAAAGTGGTTTGACTGTTCCCCAAAAAATTAAACATAAAATCATGGTATAACCCATATCCTAGGGATAGATCCAAGATAATTGAATACCAGATGGTCAAGCAAAAATTGTACATGAATGTTCATAGCAGCCTTATTTAGAGAGGCCAAAAAATGGTAACAACCCAAAGATCCATCAGCTGATGAATGGATAAACAAAACGTGGTGTACACATAAGAGGGGTTATCATTTGGCCATGGGAAGCAATGAAATCCTGACACCTGCTACAACGTGGTTGAACCATGAGAACATTATGCTAAGTGAAAGAAGCCAGACACAAAAGGCCACATGTGTGATTCCATTTATATGAAAAGTCCAGAATAGGCAAATCACAAAGACCGAAAACAGTTTCCAAAGGACAGGAGGGGGGCAAATGGAGAGTGACTGCATAATGGGTCCGGGGTTTCTGTTTGGGGACCTGAAAGTGTTCTGGGCCTCAATAGTGGTGATGGTCGTACAACATTCTGAAGGTACTAAAAACTACTGATTTACATACTTAGAAATGGTTCAAGTGGTGAATTTTATGTTATGTGCATTTTACCTAAAACAAAAAACCCAATGTTGCTACGGAAAGGGGAAGGCAAGCCACAGACTGGAAGAAAATATTCACAACATAATTATCTGACAAAAACTTCACATCCAGCATATGAGAACTCTTACAATTCAATATTGAAAAGACAAACGTTCCAATTACAAATGGATAAAAGGCTTGAAAGGACACTTCACAAAACAGGATACAGGAAAGCCTCTTTTGGCGCATGAAAAGGTACTCAACATTATTAGTCATCAGGGAAATGCATAATAAACCCCAAATGAGGAAACCATGTATACCTACTAGAATGGCTAATACTGAAAACACAAACCATACCCACAAGTACTGCGAAGGATGTGGAATATTCAGAAGTATCGTGGACTTCTGGAGGGAATGTAAAATGGTACAATCATTCTGGAAAACTGTCAGTTTCTTACAAAATTAAGTGCACACCTATCCTATTACTCAACCATTCTACTCTTAGGCATTCACTGAAGAGAAGTGAAAGCTTATGTCCTTCCTTGTATATTGACATCCATAGCGGCTTTAATCATAATAGCACCAAACTAGAAAGAACCCAAAAGTCTATCATCAGATGAGTGGGTAAATACATTGTGGTATATTCATGCAATAGCATACTACTTGGTGATAAAAAGGAATCAACGACTGATACATGAAATAACATGGATGAATCTCAAAAACATTACACCCAGGAAAAGAAGCCAGACACACAAAAGTATATATATTGTGCTACTCCATTTATGCAGAGGTCAAGGACAGGCAAAATTAATCTGTGGTGACAATCAGTAAAAGTGTTGATTGTCTTCTGGTAGAGTGACTACAAAGACACACAAGGGAATTTTCCAGGGTGATAAAAATGCTCTGTATACCTTGGCATGGTGGTTACAGGAATGTGTATACATTTGCAAAAACTCATCAAACCATGTCATTAAAATCTGCACTTTTTCTTGTCCATAAATGACACTTCAATTAAGAGAGAGAGAGAGAGAATGAGGAGAGGGAGCAAGATAATGAGTATTGTAGGTCTTGCTAGAAGGGATTTAGAGAGATAAGCCAGTAGCCAGAGGGGAAGCTGAGACCAAGAGTATGTGTGTTTGTGTGTGCCTCTGTGTGTGTGTGCGTATGTTAACGGGAGACTTGTAAGCATGTTGGCTACTGATGGCAGTGGTCCAGTAGAGAAACATTGATGATGCAGGGAAAGGTGGGGGTGGGGAGGAATTACAAAGCAAAGACCTTTAGCCGAAAAGAAGAGTAAGAGAAGAGAAGAGAAGAGAAGGAATGTTGGAAGCAGGGAATAACTGGTTTGTCTCCGGACATTTGAACCAGAATCAGTGGGAGGAAGTCACAGGGAGGTAGATCTTTGCTCAGCAGGAAAGGCTTATCTCAGTCTGCCCTGAGAGGGGTAGTGAGCTCTTGTCACCAGGGGTGCAGGGGCTGCTGTGGCAGCAAGTACTAGCCTCCATTAAGGAAGAGGGAAGTTAGCAGGGTTCAGGTCACCTGTTGTCTCAGCCATCCTACCCACGGGTGTGGAGGACCCGCTGGGTGGGGATGCGGGGCCAGCCCTTGTTCCACCGCCCTTTGCACTGGCCACAGGCCCTCTCCTACCTCTGTGCAGATGCTGGGGCACCTGTCTACTTCTACGAGTTTCAACATGGGCCCCAGTGCTTAAAGGACACAAGGCCGACTTTCGTCAAAGCCGATCACTCTGATGAAATCCGCTTTGTATTTGGAGGTTCCTTCCTGAAAGGCGACATTGTCATGTTCGGTAAGGAACAGGCTTCGGGGGGCGGGGTGCTTCTGCTCTTGCGGGGACTCGAGCTTGGGATGAGCTGGGGAGAAGCCCCTCCCCCCACCCAACATGATGCCAGAGCCCTGGAGTACTGGTGGGTTAGAACTTAGTCTGTGGTTTACAAACACAACCATTCCCTGGAAAACGCCCCCACTCTTATTTTTAGAAACCAGGATGAAAGGGAGTTGCGAGCATTGGCTTGATGAGTGTTTCTTTTTGTGCTAAAGCCGAAAGGGCTGGGCAACCGGGGGCACTCGTGCGACCTAATTTCTTTTTTTAATTAAAACCACTTTCTTCCTTCTCTCTGACCACTGGTGTTACCCTCCCTGCCCTTTCCAGACCTGTCGATGAGGTTACCACCCAGTGCTTTAAAAGGCAAAAACAAAAAAACAAAAACCAAAAACCATGTTTTTCATAATTCCCGAAGTCCTCTGGACCCAGGTGGCCTAATGTAGATGCTTGTGAGCTGCTGCTAGCAAGGTTAGCTCATCCATTCCTGAATTTATGACCTGTGCAGGGCCTAAAATAAGAAGCCAATCAGGTGAGGTTATCCACAGAAAAAAATTACAGCAACTACATACTACAGATATCACTAAAGTATTTTTTTTATTGTTATGTTAACCACCATACATTACATCATTGGTTTTTGATGCAGTGTTCCATGATTCATTGTTTGTGCATAACACCCAGTGCTCCACGCAGAATGTGCCCTCTTTAATACCCATCACCAGGCTAACCCATCCCCCCACCCCCCTCCCCTCTAGAACCCTCAGTTTGTTTTTCAGAGTCCATCGTCTCTCATGGTTCGTCTCCCCCTCCGACTTACTCCCCTTCATTCTTCCCCTCCTGCTATCTTCTTCTTCTTCTTCTTTTTTTTCTTAACACATGTTGCATTATTTCTTTCAGAAGTACAGATCCGTGATTCATCAGTCTTGTACAATTCACAGTGCTCACCATAGCACATACCCTCCCCGATGTCCATCACCCAGCCACCGCATCCCTCCCACCCCCCACCACTCCAGCAACACTCAGTTTGTTTCCTGAGATTAAGAATTCCTCATATCAGTGAGGTCATATGATACATGTCTATCTCTGACTGACTTATTTCACTCAGCATAACACCCTCCAGTTCCATCCACGTCGTTGCAAATGGCGAGATCTCATTCCTTTTGATGGCTGCATAATATTCCACTGTGTATATATACCACATCTTCTTTATCCATTCATCTGTCGATGGACATCCACTAAAATATTTTGTTAAAGAAATTGCACAATACAGGCTCTTGACCAGTTCATGCTGGCTTCTCGACGATGAGGACCGAGCCTCCGCATAAGTACGTTTGTGCACTGAGGTTTATTTGTTATGTCATTTATTCATTCCCATCCTTATAATGCAGATAATAACACAACTACCTCTTAGGTTGTCATAAGGATTCAGTGAAAATTCTCACAAGGCACACAGTGAGTGCTTAATAAATGTCACTGTACTATTACTCAGCAGCCATCACCGAGCTCATACTGTGGGACGGGGACAGGACTCTCCACATGGGAAAAAATGAACCACATGTGTGTCAAAGGTTAAATTCCTTAATATCTAAAGAGCTCCTAAAACCAGTGGGAAAAGAGCAACCCAGTGGAAAGCTGGCTAGCAGATACAAAGAGACAGTTTATGGAAAAGAAACATGAGTGACTTTTAAGTATGAAAATCCACTTGACCTCACCCATAACAAGAAGATTGCACACTAACCTTGACTGAGGAAGACTTTTTCATCTATCAAGGTTGGGAGGAGCAATACATTTTACATAATGTATTTGAGCAGGTGTAGGGAGAGAGACAACCTCATATATTAATGCAAAAACCTACCAAATTTAAAATGCAGATGGTTTTTGCCCAAGCAATCCAACGTCTAGAATTTTTTGGTGCAATTATACTTGCACACAAGCAAAAGTATAAGCACACGCTGAAGCATTGCTTTTACCAGCAAAAGATTGAAAATGATGTAAAGATCCACCAAGAGAGTACTGGATGCATGAATTATATATTCACTTATAATTGCATATATACATAATTATGCATTATACATTTAGAGAACAATAAATGGCAATAAATGGTGGGTTTATAGGTGACAGTATGGAACTATCTCCTGGATATGATTTTAGTAAAAAGAAAAAGACGCAAAATATGTGTTCATATTATACTGAGTGTGCAAAAGGGGGTCCACTTAACCCCTAGTACATGACTAGGCTGCCTTCGGAGGGCACTGGTAGCTATGGTTGACTCTGAGCCTGGGGACTGGGTGTCTGGAGAAAAGAGATGGGAGGGAAACTTATTGTCATTAGATACCCCTGCTGCATTTTGGATTTTGTACTTTGAGCAAGTATTACTTTCTCAAATAAAGAAATGCAATAATTAATTAATTGCATGAGGCGAGGAGCGGTGGAAAGAGACAGAGAGAGAGGAGGTCTCTGTCCCCAGGGAGCTCGCAGCCTCACAGGAATGGCTAGAAAAGCACTGGCTAGACGGGGAAGCTGCATGTTCAGCCTCCTCCAGCATTCGGAAGCCACGACTCCTTGGGCGAGTCCTGGCTGCTCTGGGCCTCAGTCTGTGCAGATGCAGAATGAATGCATTGATTGGTGGGCTGGTGAGAGGATCCGGCGGGAAGGGAGATGTGAATGTGATTCAGCGCACCCGAGTCACCTTGGCCTTCCGGTGAATCCATGTGAGAGCCGGATTTTGCGATTGTCTTCCTTCAGAAGGAGCCACTGAGGAGGAGAAATTGCTGAGCAGGAAGATGATGAGATACTGGGCCAACTTTGCTCGGACCGGGTAAGTGAGCCGCACCCCCCCTCGCCTCCCCCAGCCTCCCCCACATTCAGGTGTTGGAGGATGGAAATCTCACCCCCGTCTCTGCCCTCACTTCCAGGGACCCTAATGGGGAAGGCCTGCCTCTGTGGCCAGCCTACGGTCAGAGCGAGCACTACCTGAAGCTGGATTTGAATGTGAGCGTGGGACAGAAACTGAAGGAGCAGGAGGTGGAATTTTGGTCAGATACCCTCCCCCTGATCATGTCCACTTCCACAGCCCTCCGTGGTCCTCCTTCCTTACTCCCCTTTTCTCTGCTCCTGCCTTTATTCTCTGCTCCTTGAGAAATTGTGTGTGATTTTGGTTTTCCTTCTTCTGCAATTTCCCCCATGATCATTAGCTCCATTTTTGTGTTTAGCTACTTTGTGAAATCAGCTGCTTTTACTGATGTTTTATGGACGTGGGGAGGATCCCTAGGGGACTTCTCTTCTATCAAACAACGCTGCTTGTCTTGGAATGCTATCAGATCTCTTCAATAAATCTGCAGGAGGGTCTATTGGTTGGCATCATAATGATCTTGTTACTAAGAGAAAACAAAATCAGAACGTGAAATATGTATGGGGAGCAGAATTTAATCCTGTGCTCAAAACTCTCCCCTAACCCCCAGCATCCAAGGTGAAGTGGATTTCCTATCAGAGGTGTGTATTACCTGAAATCTGAGTGCTCCAACTCCAATCCAGGCAGGTTTCAGCCACAAGCCAAGCATGGATGTCTTGAACCTCAGTGGCTAGAACTGGGTCTTTCCTCCAGTGGGGGAGGAGGGGGTGGGGCGGCCAGAGAGCCTCCTTCTCAGCAATGGAAACCAGAGGTCCTTCAAGGTCAGGAGCCAAGGAGTCAGACGCCTGGTGGCAAAGTCAGGTCGGGGGGACACCGAGGAGAAAAAATGTTTGCCTGATGGGGTGGAGACTAATCTATCCTTCCATAAACCTACATTGGGTGCCTGATGTGTGCCAGGCATATCCACACTGGGGCTACAGTGGTGAGCAAGACATGCCCTCCACCAGTGCTAAGCAAACACACAGTAAGCAAACATTCACACTAGTGAATAGCTGATGACATAAATTTGATAAGATCACTCAGAGTAAGGTGTTGTATAAAAGTATAACAGGGGGATCTAATTTAGAGGCAAGTCTCAGGAGGTTCTCTCTGGAGAAAGGATGAATTAAAGTTAACCAGATGTTAGGTAGGGAGAATGTTACAATACCATCATTCAAAGGATGCACTTTTACTTTTTTTTAAGATTTTATATATATTTTTGTTTGTTGAATTGAGAGAGAGAGCACAAGCATGGGTGAGGGGCAGGGGGAGAGGGACAAACAGACTCCCCTCTAAGCAAGGAGCCCAGTGCTGGGCTCGATCCCAGGACCCTGAGATCATGACCTCAGCCAAAGACAGACGCTTAACTGACTGAGCCGCCCAGGCGCCCCGCACTTTTACTTTTTCTATCATATTATAATTTAATATTTAATTTAATGTTTACATAATTATATATTAATTTATAATTTATATTTAATATGTTAATATATTTAATATTGAATATAATTTGATATTTAATTTAATTCATATTATAACTACATAATCCCTATTCTATCCATGTAATTTACCAGGGTAATTAGTTTTTCTTTGTGATTGCCTCGGGATTACACATGAGGTGCATGGAGTAGGAGGGTTTCTGAAATGTCAGTAATGTAGAGTTTCTCTGGGTCAGAGATCTCCAGCTCCTAGCCTCAGTTTGGGGAGAAATGTTTTGTTTAGCCCATAGTTGTCAAAAACGTTTTGGAATTCGTTTCCAGTTAATATGAAATCAGGGGAGTTCCACTTTAAAAGCCATTGTTTCCAGCCCCTCCAGAGAAAAAGAAGGAAAAGGAAAACAGGAGGAGGGGGAGGGGGAAGAAGAAATCTGGCAATATTGGAGCTGCGTTCGGGCATGGTAACCAGGGCTTCTGACAGCCCGTACATCACCTTTGTGCAAACTAGAAGGTATCCTTTCTTCAAAACCCTCTACAGGCATCTTCCAGGAAACATCATCACTGATAGATACTACATCTGTGATGTGAACAGTACCTCCTCTGAAGTAGTGTTCTTGTGCAGTACTCAACCTGCACAACTGTTCTCAGCGACCCTGATGGAAAAACCTGCAGGAACCGAGTAGTGGCCACCCCTTTACCAAGGCATAAGCTCTCCATTTTTTCACAGTCCTCATTATTCACGGGAAAGATTTGGTTTGTCTCCAGAGTTTTGTTGGATTTGATTTGATTTAGTGATTCAGGTCCAAGATTGTAAGTGGGGGAGAAGGATTTTCTGTAAAAAAGGAAGTTGTTTAATTTGTCTTGTGCCTGATCCATTTCACTCATGGATATTACCCTTCCCCTGAAGATGTTTAGGTTTGGACCCCTGGCCTCTCATTTTATAGAAATCTATGGAGATGTGAAGGAATTCGCCCAGAATCATTCAGTGAATTAGCAGCAAGTCAAAACCAGACTTCGAGTATCTTGTCTTTCCAGAGCAGGATTCTTTCTGCCATGCTCTCTGCCTCCCTCAGCATAGGGTCCAAATCTGTTGGAATTGTGTCTGACTTAGGTGGTTGTGGACCAACAATGCTCAGGGCATTTTCTAGTTCTAGGAAGAGGAACCAAGCCACACACAAGCAAGCTGGAAATTCAGTTGCCTCTGCAGCTGCAGACAGCTAATTTCTACACTGATATTTGGCTAAACTAACAGCTAGAAAACACCACTCAACTCATTTTTTAAAATACTATCATATTAAATGACATTACACTTATTTATATACTGCACACAGTCCCGGCATCCTCAAATACAGTTCTAATTTTGGTAGGTGTCTTGCAAGAGGGAGCATATTTCCAACACATCTAGATACAAGGCCCTCTTTCCTCCTTATTCCTGTCCATGTGCCATCAGATGTTGTATTGAGTTAAAGCTGAAATATAAATGCCCCTTGGCATCCTGCTTTTTCATTTAATTCAGGGTTTCCTATCAGAGGTGTAAGTAGAGGAATCACCCAGAGGGCTTTTCCAAAATTCCACTGTCCAAGCCACTCCCCAGTCCAGCCGAACCAGAAACTTCTTGGATGGGACCTGGAAACATATGTTTTCACTTTTTAGGCATTAGATGCACACCCCCGATTACGAACTGCTGAGTATTCACAGTGTGGTATATGTATTCCAAGTCGGTAGAGGATCTTCAAAGAATCAGCTTTCATATCTGTCTGATGTGGATAGGTCACCATCTCTAGCCAGTAGCCTGCTCCTGGGACATTTATGTCCATATGTATGTCCCATACATATAATTTGATGAGCAGCTTTGGGAATGAGTACTTTTACTTTTTAAAACTATTCCTGCTATCTGGATCTGCAGAAGATGGACCCAGTCACAGGCCATGCCCTTTTTAAATTGCTCTTCTTCTTTTTTTTTTTTTAAGTATTTTATTTATTCATTTGAGAGAGAGGGCACACAGAGGGAGAGGGAGAAGCAGGCTCCCTCCCAGGACCCCGGGATCATGACCTGAGCAGAAGGCAGACACTTAACCGACTGAGCCCCCAAGGTGGCCCTAAATTGCTCTTCTTATGTTCTACAAATTCACTTCCCCAAAGGGTCCCTTCACTTCCTGCTCATCAGCAACACAGAAACATGCATTTCCCACTCACCTCTGCTTTCCCACCACTGTAAAAACAAACTATTTCATTGCTTTCTTATTGTAAATTCAACAACTTCTTTTTTTACAGAAAATCTGCCCTCCCCCCGCCCCCCTCCCCTTACAATCTTGGACCTGAGTCACCAAATCAAATCAAATCCAACAAAACCCTGGAGACAAACCAAATCTTTGCCTGTGCAGCAGAGGGCAGCGTTAAGGGGAAAAACCTCTCTCCTCCCCTCCGAGGCTCCTGAGATGGGGGTGGCGTGATATTGCACAACTTCGAGGTAAAAAAAAAAAAAAAGGTTAAATTATAAACCAATACTATTTATCATCATTCCTTTTCTCTGTAGCACTTGAAAAAGGGAAAATTCCAACCCATTACCTGAAAAGCCTGACTCCGATGACTACCTTCACAGGCAGAGCAGACGTTGGGGCCAGCAGGTTTTTTTCTTTCCTAATTTTTGTACTTTCCCATCGAGCCCCGAGGAGCCCACCTGAGATGGGCAGGGTCCCTTCCCTCGCGGCTCCCTGTTCCTGCTCCTCTCCCCTCAAGGGCCCTTTAGACTCTGGACCTTCCTGGCCAACACCAAAGCCCAACTCCCCACCTGTGGCCCTGGCTGCAGGTCCCAGGAGGGCAGAGGTGGGAGAGGGGGTGTATCCTCGCATCGTGTACCCACATAGTAAGTGGTTACAGATTTTTATCGCTTCTGTGTAGTCATCATTTGTGTGAATATGCCATAATCTATCCGTTCTACCGATGTTGGGCATTTGGAGAGTTTCTAGTTTCAGGTTATTATGAAAAGAGTTGGCATGAATATTTTAGAACGTAATGACTTTTAATGACTACATGCATGCATTTCTCTTGGATATTTACGTAGGAGTGGCTTTGCTGGGTCACCAGGGTTGCATATGTCAACTTTAGTAGGCACTCCAAAAAGTTTTCCAGAGTGGTTGTGCTGACTTGCCCTCCTACCAGCAGAGTAAGGAAATTTCCAGGTCTTCCATATTGTTGTTGATACTTGGTATTTTTCTAAAGTATTCTTTCACTTTTCTCTTTATTCATTACTGTATGTTTCCTTGCTTAGTTTGCCATAAGGCAACAATTGTTTTACAAAATTGCATTCCTGTGGACCATTGATGGGCAGGGTTAGGTGACCAGGCATTGGCTTCATCAAGGATCACTGTGACTGCGCCATTTCCTTGTACCTCAGGGAACGTCTTCCTTTGGACATTCAAATCTCTGGACAGAAACCACACTATGTTGATGTTGCCAAGGCTTTGTGGTTTTTTTTGTTTTCTTTTTTTTTATGGTAAGAATTACTTTTTTTTTTTAAGATTTTGTTTATTTATTTGACAGAGAGACACACAACGAGAGAGAGAACACAAACAGGGGGAGTGGGAGAGGGAGAAGCAGGCTTCCCGTGGAGCAGGGAGCCCGATGCAGGGCTCGATCCCAGGACCCTGGGATCCTGACCTAAGCCCAAGGCAGACGCTTAACGACTGAGCCACCCAGGCACTTCAACCAAGGCTCTTTTGATGCACAGTTGTAATCAAGTGATTGGATTCCCCAGATTCAGTCAGTTCTGGGACTAGCAGAGGCAGAACACAGGTGGGAACTTTGGTCTGGGGGTAGATCTCAGAGGGGAGAGTTACACTCCCATGTGCATAATTGGGGGTATCTGCACCCCACTTTCACAGATACCCAGTAGCTCTAAATTCAGAGGGTTTTCTACTGCTTCCACTTCGAATGTGGTAGTCTGAGTGGGGGTGGGGGTCCCTCCTCATGCATAGATTTTCCCCTTTCTCTGCTCTAAAAGCAATTGTCACTCTGTCCACC